GGAACCAAGAGCTCAGTAGAAGCGAAGCAAATCTTACGAAGAGGAGTTGCTCCCACCTAGCCCCTTGCCCTAGCATGCTCATGCTCGTGAGGAGATTGAAGCGTCTTCGACGAATGGCGAGGAGGCCCTCCCGCGGAGCACTGCACTCATGTTGGCACCGCTCGAATTGCTGCACATGTTCCTCCATGATGAAGCTCTCAGGCTCAAAAGCTAATCAATTAGACTGTGGTTCAACTCCTCGACCATGTATGATCAGACGCCAACTCGACTGGCCATGATGCTGCTCCCGACGATAGCAGCGGTGCACTTTCTGCACCAGAAGTCCCAAGGTGTGGAGATACTCCCCTGGGCCGTGCTCACAGAGCTGCTAGAGAGAGTGAAGGGGCTTGGGCTCATCACTAAGGATGAGATCCTGAACCTTGCCGTGGAGATACTCCCGGAAGGTGGGATTCGAAAGGTGCTCACACACCTCCACTCCATATCGGGTATCGATGAATGGGGACAAATCCGGCACAGAAGACGAAGAGCCCTGGTCGAACAGGGGATGCAGTACCTCTCTTTGGTTCGCATCCACGCTGGAGACCTGATTTCCCCAGCAAGCCTCGGTTACCACCGGTACGACTTGGAGATAATGGAACGAGAATCCCATATTACGGGATACATCGCCAAATATCTCCCTGCTGAGTACCAAGAGGCATATCAAGCTGATGTACAGACGTTGAGGTCTCAGTTTTTTTGCTGAAGACGGCAGACTTAACCTGGCCTCGGCGACGTGGGAGGTATCTTACAATCACCTCATGGCCGCCACTTCCTGAGCCAAGTGAGAAGAGGAGATGCTCCCTAAGCAAGAAGCTCCTGTAACAATAGAGGAGTTTCTCCCTCGTTAGGCGTAGAGCTGGCGGAGTTACTCCCCAGGGGTTTTTGAACTAGTAAAGAGTCACAGGTGGAGCTTCTCCCCTAGTTGGTGGAGCTTCTCCCCCAACGAGGGGTGTACAGCTGGTGGAGTCTCTCCCTAGGGGTTTTTAAAAGCTTTGAGTCGCTGCCTGCAATAATTCTGCCTGCACTGAGCCACACTGAGCCAACAGCAATCCACCATCCGTGATGCAGGTCTCCTCGTGGTGGCCTGGAGCTCAGTGGCCTAGGCCCAGCTGCCTGCTTAGAAGCCAGCTTGAGCCAACAACCGCAGCTTTCTCTCAAGACTCAGCATCATGTCCAGACCTGAGTCAACACAGGATCCCTCGTTTCA